GATCAGTGGGCTCCCGCCTCCCCCCTGCTGCAATCTTGTGCAAGACCCAGGGGGAAGGAGCGCACGTGACCGCTGTACCTGCGTCATAGCAACCAGCGAGAAGAGGCGGGAGGGTGCATGTTCGGGAGTACAGGGGGAAGGACAGGCATTAAAAATACAAGGGCTCCTCTTACCCTCCCTCCGGCACTCGGACGTCCACAGAGCCACAATGCCTCTCCTAGTCGCCCCTCTGCTGAATCTCACCCTTCAATATTCATATATTCAGTATTCTGTTTTGTCTTGACATAAGACGGTCCGCAAAACTTGCCATAATAAGGAACAGCAGCCCTTTGCTTTTCCCGTGTGGAGAGTGAAGAAAAGCTCCGTATTCCCTCTCATGAGAGCATCTAAAACACTGTATCATAGAGGTTACAAATCAGAAGAACTATTTCTGCTCCAAGGAGCCTTACAAGTTACAAGTTTATGAAGAGCACAGGTGGGCGCAATCAGCACCTGTGCCTGTGAGCAAGGCAGCAAGACAAAATCCTTTTTTTATTACCTGCACTGCAAGAATGGGCGTGGAAAAGACGTCAAAAGCAGACAGAAGTGAAAGAGCTTGTGTATTCTGAAGCGCTTGCGATCACTGTACAGTCCTCAGCACCACATCGAGCTGCAGAAGTAAAAAAAAGAACAACCAGACTACTCCCAAAAGAAATCACCCAACATTGCCCCAAGATAGCACCTTGCTACCGTCTGTGTGGGTTCGGTTTAGCGCAAGAAGGACTGTCACATTTTCCTTTGTACCCTTTCTGGCCCTTCAACTTCATCTGCTAGAGAAAGGCGGTTAAGTGAATAAGTAAATTGGCAACACGCTGTGACGAACAGACATTTTGTGGGCAAGCGAGGGTCATGGTAATTTCTGCAGCTCCCGTCTAGGGCAGGGAGACAAGACAGTTAACCTCTCCCCCCTGTTATCAGAGGCTCAAACTGTCTAGAGGTTCCTGGCTCCCTAGCAACCATCCCCCAGCATACACCAGACAAGCACAGGTAGGGGATGTTTGGCTTAAACCGGCTCCTTCAGCATGAAATCACTTGTGAAACAACACCGATATTAGAGCTTCCAAGTAAAAACAGGGCCTGAACCCCTGGGAGGTGAACTATATATAGCAATATCATCAAGGTTACCAAAGTCTCAACTCCCAGTTAATGTGAGCTTCGGTCAGGTGATGTACCCCTAGGGACTGGTCTGAAGCATCTGTCCTTTTTCATTTTTAAATGTTGTTCGGTGGTATTAAGCCAACGGGATCACAAAGGAAAAATCTCCCTAAATTTTCTGTAAACTCAAAACCAGTACCATCCTCAACCCCCTAGCAACAATACCAGAAGAATTATGGCTGAAGAGCAGCCATACACCTGAAGTATCCCAGCCCAAAGCACACGTGTTCATGAATTTCTGCTTCCAAACAGCGCTGTGGTTTTGTCACCTGATACTGCTCAAAACAAGGCCTACTAAAGCAGCAGCTGCAATTGACTCCACCTGTTCCAGGGAAATGGGACTTAATCTTGGCACTTCTATGCCACTGCTAGCCTTTGCTCAAGTAATCCCTAATTATCAAAGACATCTGCAGGGCCTGGGTTAGTTAGTCCTATACTGGTACTGACGGAAAATACCACAGCTCTAGAAGAAAGCTTCACTGGAGCAACATCCCTCATGCTTCCTGATCTCACAAACTATACGTTAGTCGTTGATCTTTCCTAACTTCTTTCTGTATAACTAAGTTCCATTAAGACATGACCAAATCATTTCCACCGCTTGTAACATGCAATTTCAAACAGAAACGAAACTTCATTTTTGACCGCTTTTTTGCGCCACTCACCTCTGTCCATTCCGTGCGAAACAGACTGTGTGTGGGAGATTTCTGGCACTTATTGCAGGTCTCAGCGTGTTTTAAATCAAGCAGATTGTACAACAGTAGGAGCAGCTTTTCAGAAACAGCTGCTAGCTTGCTATTTTATATTTTAATGTTTATTTGTTATATTTTGAGGACTCTGGAACGCACATAGTTCACTGATGCAGAAGTCGAGTATCATGAATACAGTTGTAAGAAGTGCAGAACTGCAATTAAAGACCTAAATTATTAGCATTCATATTTTACTTATAGGCATAAATAGATACCACTTTTGAGACGAAGCAATAAAGCATATTGTGCTAATTGTTTTCGTTAGCTTAGCCCTTTAGGAGAGCACAATTATCGGAGTCAAAGGTCAAGGCTAAAGGCCCATCACTTTTTGTAACATCACAAGAGGTTTTAACTTCACTGTTGACTTACCAAGTGGGTGTCTTATCAAAATTACAACAAAAGCATCTCTCCAACTCAAGCAGTGACCAATGGTTTTGATTTTCAAAACCTAAAACTGATACCATGCATGCTTTCAAACCCGCCAACCAATTACAACTGCAATCTGAAACTCAACCCAAATAAATTTCACTGAAATCTGAAATGATGTTTTCAATGTGTTAGTACATGTCAAGGAATGAAGATTATCTGTAATGATAATCCAGCCTGCAATCAGTTGTTTGAGAAAACAGACACAAATATCAAAGTTTCTGCGAAATGTCCATTATAGTCTTTGTACTGCATTATTAACAAAGGAGTACTAAATGTACTATACATGTTTTTCTTATAGCTTTGTTCTTCATTCTTGAATGGGATTCTTTTCAATACACAAAGTACTGTGTACTCATTTGTCAAGAAATATCAAATTCAGGTATGTATTCAGAAAAATCGTGTTACAGTATACCTGCTACGGGCTAGAATTTTAATTAACTCTACAGCAGTGATAGCAAAGTTAAAATACAACACTTTATTTTCTTTTTAACGTATGCCCTGCAATATCCTACAGTACGCTTTGTCACCCAGAGGGCCAGCGTGACATAGGATGAGGAAACTCCAGGTCCGATAAGAGGGGACAAGTCTTTTAGCAGAAGGGTGTGGCGGCCATCCGGGCAGTGCAGACTGGGACATGGGGAAGTGTGTGTGATGGGAGGTGTGACCACTACGCTACGCCCGAGTCCACAGTTTCTCCCCTGTCCACTCCCACCAAGCTGCAGCTGACAGAGGAGCTGCTCAGTAACGCACCTCGTCCTTCCTTCAGGTCTTCAGTGATACGGTACACCACCGACTCTCAATCGTGGTGCTGGAGACCACTGCCTGCTGGTTCTCTTTCCGCTCTAAATCCCCAGTCCTAATTAATGACTTATTTGACCTCTGCCTGTTCGGACTTTTATTTACCTTGTTTCTTCCGTCAGGCCAGAGCCTCAAAAATACCCTACTACAGGCATACCATTTCACAAATGACTCCCTCAGACCATCTGTGAGACCCACACTTTATGTTCCAGGCATACGCAATGTACACAGGTAGCACACAATAGCACACTTTGTAGTTCAGGGAGGTTTTCTCATGATCTAAAAAATATCTATCTGTTTGCAGATCTAGAAACTTCATCAGATCCTCACCCTCAGGTCACAGAAAATGCAATTTCTTTCTCTTCTTAGCTGCCTTGCTTTAAATTACCTACTATAGCAACAATATGCTGCACAGGAAAAGATCAGGAGCAGATACTGAATCATTGCAGAAAGAGACATCCATAGAGAATTAACAGTAAACACAAAGCAAACAAGTGTCTCCAATTTCAGTTTTACACATTACTGCCACTACTTTCAGTCCCAAAGTAGTGCCTTGGGTTGGCTTTATTAATATCTCTGAAGATATTAAACATTTCGTCTTGTACATATAACAATTTCCCTTACCACCTCTCTGTTTAAGACAAAAGACATTTAAGCAGAATGTCTGTAAAAGAAACACACTTACATTGCTGCTTTCATTGTTTCCTGTCATGACTAATCATTAATCTGGCCTCCTAAATTCACTGTAGCATGGCCAGATCAGCACATACGGAACTACAAATCCAGGATTTTGTCTTCACTTCAATTTCAATGGCATTCAGTGGTACTACTGGTCCAGTAACAGTGAAGATCTACAGTGGGTTTTATGAAATAATAAGTGGGATTGACATGGTTTAGAGAGAGGCCTACCATTTCCAGGTAACACAACAGCAACAGCAAGAAGAACAGCAGGAAGACAAGACATGACGAAAATGAATTCCCATGCTGCATTGCAGTCTGTCACCCAAACAAGACGCTCAGTGCTGGCGCCAGGTTTTTCTTAAACATGCCTAATACCTGCAGTGGTATTTGTAAGGCTGGAACACCGTATCTGCCCAACCACATGTCCAGAATGGCACACAGTTCCATTAGGCACACAGGATCATGGGAATCCTGAACAGACTGCTTCTACACAGAGAAGCACCAAGGTCAGTGGAGGCCGTGGTGGGCACCACGTTTACTCCAGAGCCCACCAGAGCCTGGATTCAGTTCTCTCAGCAAGGAGAGTTGGGTTAGAGCCAAACGATGCTGAAAATCACCTGATCCACAGAACAAGTCTCTCTGGCAAAGACCAACAGTTTCTTCTTAAAAAAACAAGACACGTTTGACAAGCACAAGTTGGGCTTTTGCTGAGTGCATTTCTAAACGTAACCCCCCCTTCTATGCTGGCATAATGTCATTAGTTAATTATATAAAAAAACATAATATAATAGCAAAATGAAAGAATAATGCAGTATATTATTTTACTTTGTATATGTTGTATCTGTAAATCCATTTTTTGTTAAGAAAGAAAATGAAAGCCCACCATACCTGAACTCAACTGAAGAAATCCTGATCCTTTATCAAATGCTAAATTGTAATTATTATTTAATGTTTTCTTTTCTGTTGTTTAACAAGACTTGATAAAGCCTTTGCTTGCTGTATGTTTTGTATTTGACTCCTTGGACTTTTCGGGGAGATTCTCTGAATAAACCTTTGGTGTTGACCTTACCGAGGCGCTTTAAATTTAAAAAGCACAACTGCAGGCATAATGATTACAGGTCATTTCTTCTTTATATTAACGTCTGCACTCTCTCGCAGGTTACGTGCACAGCCCCCAATGACTTCTTTCATTTAAACATTTCCCCTTCTCCAAAATCAATTTGCCATTTGCAACTTTTTAACAAGAGGTTGGAAATAATCCCTGTAAGCTGAATTCTGCTGGCGGATGTTCGTGCCTGAGACCCTGAGCTTGGGCTGTTTCCATCACTCTCCTCCCTGTCTCCACATCTCTCCACAGGAGAGAGACTGAAGAATAAGCAGTGTTAATTACAACAGACAGGGCCTCCGGGGCAAGAAAAACAGTTCACAGATAACAGAAGCAAAACCGCCTTGCTTCTGGTAACATGGTCTTGGATATTGTTGTTAAAACTGCCCTAAATGGACAAGGACCACAATAAAACTGGGGTTCACTCAGCGGTCAAAGATGAACCAATGAAAAAGCACTGCATACAGTAGATTGAGGTTTGTGTCTGCGCCAATATTTCAGGGGATAGTGTGAACTTTCGGGCTGAAACAAAAGGTTAAAAAATACAGGTTCAGGTTAATCTGAGACACCAAACACAACTGAAATCCAACTGACCTGCACACAGTATGCAGGCCTCCTTATCGCAGGATGAACTGATAAATTAGAGAGTGATCACTTCCTTATAACTCTTAAGAAGGGACCGAATGAGTCATACTTCTGGCAAAGCTCTCCGTCTGTAATGGTCACAGACTTTTTCGCTGATGCCTAATTTCTGCATTACTGTTGCATAAAAGGATTATTGAGTTGTCCTTTCAAAGTCTACTAGGCCAAAATAATGGCCTAAACCAATTAACTTGTGGAATTCTATCCTGCCTTTTTTTTCCTGCACAGCAATTGTACTTTTTCACCAGCAGACTCAAGACCTCCCTGCCTGGAGTAGCGAGATATATCCCGTGCCAGCTGGAGTGACTGGTCAGCTCTGCGTGTCTCATCTAGACCAGGGACCCAGAAATCTGGAGTCATGGAAACCCACAGGCTTTTCACAACATAAGGTCCTCCATACAACCTTCAGCATGAGGTCACCCAGCCTATTATAGCCAGGCTGTGCTTTCACCCTGACAGCAGGACAAAAATACACACCTTCCGGTCGCCAATAGCGATGCAGGGAGCCTCACTCTGTACACACTGCCGATATCGCCACGACACCACAGTGACCGCTTTCTGACAGCTCGCGAGCCGACTGACTGACAACCTCCCCCCGTCCTCGGGAGCTTGTTGAGTCTGCTCAGGCAGGGAATTTGACTCTGAAAGGAGGAAGGAGGATAAAGCAAGGAGAAATGTCAAGCGACTCGGCAGGGCTTCTGCAGTTTGTTTTCCCACAGATATCCATACAGGAGGTGATATCAGCTTCCCAGGATAAACGGGGAGGATTTGGTTAAGACCCACCAATTCCTCCTTTGCTTCAGCCAGCCCAACAAGCAGGCGCCAGCTGCACAAATCCAGGAATAACACTGCTGCTGATGGGAAAACATTCACCTTCTGCATTTTTACACCCTCCCACTGTGTCCCACCCTCTAGTTCATGATTCTTTCATCCATTGCTACGTTTTAAGCCTAAGTGGTCTCCACAAATGAAGAGGGCCAGAGGGAGCTGGGAAATGGGCACAACAAAGGATTGAGAAACACTCTTTTAAATGAGAAGTGCATTATGCCACTTTAAAATCCCTTAATTTAAATTTTCCAGCTTTCACTATTTAACCTAACATAGGGTTGGGCAACCCTGAGCCTTGTACTGAACGGCTAGTTGAATTCCAGTGCAGAGTCACTCACTCACGCACACACATCACTCCCTCCATTCCCTCTTGCATGGGGATAAATGTCAGTCTAAGGAGTTGAGCCTTAAAGGAACAGGTCTCAGCTGTCCCGCACGAGGAAGGTAACTTGTGCCTTGGGCAGCTGGTCCCCAGAACAACCAAGGGTTGTGGAGGGCAGTTGTAACAAAGCCCCCTGGAGATTGTCCTGTTAAGGTCTAGCCCTCTTGATGAGTTTGGGAATTCTGTCACCTCAGTTGACGGTCTCTTTTTCTTGTCCTCAAAACCAGAAGAGGAAAGGTGATGACTGTTCACTTTGCATCTGGTGGCCTTCTAGTTTTCTCTGTTCAAAACTAAAAAGGTTTGGTTCTTTTAGCCTGTCAGTGTAGGATATTTCAAGTGCCAGAATACATCTGGTTGGTCTTCTCTGGGCTGATATCAGAGCAGTAATGTCTTTTTTTTTTGTAAAGTGGTGACCAAAAGAGTAAAAGATCTCAAAGCACTGGAAGACAACATACAGTTTTAATTTCACTATTTACAGACAGTAAAAGGACAGAAAGATCGACCAAATTGTGTGTTCCTGTCTATATTTAAACCATGTAAACTATGAATGTCCCTTTAACGTGTAACTGAGGAATTTCTTTTTCGCACTTTCTACCATAGTGAGCCTGATCATTTCCCAAAGATTTGCCACATTCGAACTCTGCTTTGGTTTTGGTTGGTGTAAGACGGCGCTGCAACAGGCTGGCTGGATCGTCAGGCAGGGCCCACAGGGAGTCTGCTGGATCACGTGATCAGCTCCCAACACACAGAACAGCCTTCCTTTCATCTACCACAACCCTGATGAATTCGAATGAGCTGACGCCGCTGGAAAGAAGTTGCTTCTGTTTCATCAACGCCGAGCGCAAAGCCGCGTTTCACATTGAGCCCCAGCAAGAAAACCAGAGCGGCGTTCGCAAGCAACACCGACACGGAAGCAGCTGTGCTCGAAACAGATATAAACCCCTTCTGTTCCTTTTACATTCTCATTAGGTAACAAATCATCTCTCTGAAATCACTGCGATGATAGGGGGCATTTCTGAGTCACGCCAGAACAGACGCAGGCTTTCACAAACGATTAGAAAAGCAAGTTATAAGTAACATTTGGAAATCCATTCTGGGGATTAAAACTACAATTATTTCTGTCAGAAGTCTTGCCCAGACAGGTATGCAATACCAGAGGAGGGGTCTCTCTGAGTGAGAAGGTTGTGCAGGTATTTACTCTAAGGACATGTTACACAATCAAAAGAGTGGGGAACAGATGCAGCCTGCTGTCTCAGCCCCACCTTACTCAAGATTAATTGGGCAGCACTGTGGTGGGAGTGGTTTGGTCCCTGAACTCGGAACTGTGGATTCTGCAACCTTCCAGTTAAGGGTGGGTTTGAGATCGATTCTGCACATTCAAGCCTGAGATTCTAGCAGATGAGTTCTGAGAAACATCCGGACATTTTTTGAGGGTACGGGTTTCTCAGAACGTACCTCAGAAACACCTAAAGCATGCAAACTGTGAACTGCGGCCAAAGTTCGTATTTTCAGCCCGCCCTCTTCAGATTCCATTTTTTAAAAACACTAGCTTCTCAAGTTGCAGCTGCCGCGCAATCTACAAATAACACAAGAAGGAAACAACACCCGTAACATAGTTTTTAAAACAGCCAAGACGCTGGACTCTAAGAGGCGACAGAAATCCTGTGTGCTGCTCATGAACAGACTATGAGTGAGGTTTTAAGATCACAGTAGCAAAGGATCTGGAACTCATTGCAGATGTTTTCATAGCGTGCCACCCATGTAAAGATTCCAAAACGCCGCTGGTTTGTGCTGGCCCTGGGCCTGCTCACTGGGCCCTTGCCTGGCCACAAAAAAGAGGCCCTGTGGTTTCTGGGGTTGCATGTGAAGAAACCAAAGTAAGAGCCGTGAGTGAAGGACAACCTCCTCTCTCTCTCTCTCCAACCTGCGGTAAAAACAGATGGGCAAAACGTGCTGCCCAGCCGATGCCAGAGAAGAAACACAAGAATTCAGCTCACAGCAAACGCGTCTTCTGCCATCCAGACACTGCGGCGTTATCAAGACCTCTGCAAACGCATTCAGTGCCACACGACACCTGGGAGAGACAGACGACAGCTGTCTCACACTTAACAAATCAAGGTTAAATCTCAAGGGCACTTCGGAAAATGGTTTCTTTCTCCTGTGGACAACTGCACGTGCCGTACCAGCATCTGCAGATGAGCAGCGGTCAGTCTGGGGCCTTTCCTTCCACTCCTCCCAGAGGAATTCCCCGAAGGCCTTCACAAGGCCAGAGCAACTGCCAGGTGCCGTTCACAAGAACAGCCCATGTCAAACCCACAGAGTCACCAGAGTTAAGGACAGCAGAGCAAAACACAGCACAGCCGAGCGCAACGCAGCTGAGATCAGAGGGAAGGTTTGAAATGAGAGGAGATCGTTTGGTCCGGCGAGCCTGTTCGGTAGGTAGTTGAACTGAGAATCATGCAGATGTTTCTCAAAGGAAGCCAGGATATCATCTTCCAGAAAATGGCTGGGCAGCTTCCACCATACGCCCACAACTCTTTAAGATCAGGAGTTCCAGTGGGTTGGCCAGGGTGATTTTAAATACCTGTAACTGATCTGTAGGACATTCCTTTAAACCCTGGAATTGATCTATTTTCTCTTTTCTGGACCAATACCAGCATAGCAAGATGTTTAGCATGATGTCCTTAGAATTAAATTCTACACTTTTTAACTATACAGTACATGTGTACATTCTGTTTGCTTTTTTATCATTTCCCGACAATATGAATGTCAGCATAAAAACTTTTTGCCAGTTGATTATATATCCTGCCTTTAAAGGTGACATTTTTTAAGTGAGTGATCTGCCTTGAATAAGTTGAACAGATGGTATCTGATGGGGATGTCTCACCTTGACAAATACAACCCCAAAGACATTAGAACAGCGTTTCCAAACCTGAACACAGCAAATTACAGCAATTTAACTTAAAAGACACATTTGATGTACGTGTCATTTACCTCACAGGGCTTGCTTGCTCTAAGCCAGGCTTTTGAAGTCATCAGCTTAAATTTTCAATTCCAACAAATATGGCGCTGTAAACATCCTGAAATCATTAGCCCCTCTCTTTAAAAGCAGAGATGATATAAATGTTTCTTATAGAGCTCTTCTTACTACGATAGCTAGCCTTGATTAAAACTTCAGAAAATAACCTTGAGGCGCCCAGTTTTAGAAAACCACTCACAGGTGCGCACCAGATGGAAATCAGCCAAGAGGTTTCAAAATTAAATTTCCTCGGCACATTACCATAACACGCGAAAACAGACATCTACTCACTGAGTACAACCAGTCACAGTATGTAAACATGTACTTAAGTTAAAGTAAATGCTAGTTAAGGTTTATTGCACTGGGAGTGTGATTTTATTACACAGCAATGATTAGGAACCTGCATAACATTCAATTCAAGTTCATTCCAAATAGCTCAATTGTACTTTGACCTAGCACATATACCCTACTATTGAAGAAGTACTGCAAGCTGTACACCTTTGTACAACACACCTGCAAAAACATGTACTAATTACTTTGGAACACATGTGCAAACCACTTTTACTTTCAAATGAACACCCAAGAAACAATGCGGTTGTTTGTTTTTGTTCCAGTACAATTCATTTCCTGCAAGAACACAAAAGCATCAAGATGACTGGGCATTTCTAGCGCTCTGAGACCTAGAATCCTGGGAGCAGAGGTTGGGCAGCCTCAGCACACAGCCTTGGAGGGGAAGAGATGTAACACTAACACCAGACAGCATCCATCACCGTCCAACATGGGAACAGGAACCTGGAGTCACTGCAGACTACAAAATCCTCGGTTTGCTAAGGTACATTAGCAGCTGGGACCATCCTGGGCCTTTCAAAATCAACATAGAATAGTGAAACCCTAACTCTTAAAACTCCTTCATGAAGACGTGGGCACTCTTAGTACTGAGCTTTTCCACCTTCCTCTGGAATCACCATCATTCTGCAAAGCACCAGCTTCACTGAAAAAAAAACCCACAATTCATTACAAGACGTGCGAAATTAGACACGAGAGCGAAAGTCATGACGATCCCCGGCCGAACAGAAAACGTCTGTTCAGAAAACAATTACACTTGGTTAGTCAAACTACTGTATATGCCTAATCCTGTTCCTTAAATATAAATCACAGAGCATTCAAGTCAATGCTGCTTTAGTTCAGAGGGTATTCAATATATCACACTCAAAGAATTGGAACTGAAGCTCCAAAAACATGTATTATTTCGATTAAAATGATGAAGCATCACAATCCACTTTCACTTATCAGCCCCTCAATGGGACCTACACACTCCGGGGAAACTCTAACAGCATAGGAGATACGGGTGGAACCCTGTCCAGTTTCTACCAGCTGAAGACTCTTACATCTGGAATATTATACATCAACCA